TGGATTGGAGTGTATTAGCTACAAGAAGTCGGATAAACATGGACTGTCAGAGGCTGAGGTACGCATAACCATAGTAAACACTGACCAGGCAAAGCTTTGCGACTTCAACATCCCTCAAAAACATCTATGTAAAAGCATCAACATACCTCCTAAAATCAACGTAAAAACATACAGTAAGTAATAAAGACACAATGCAAGAGGTATACACATCACAGTTATATTTTATTTACAACATAAATACTTGTACATTGTATTAGATCATGGTATTTGAGGTATATAAATGTATGCCGGTTTATCAAGTGTGCTGGTTACAACAAGATTTGCTGTGTACAAAATTGAGAGGCATGGATAGGGTGGACAGAGTGGACAGTCAGGTCCTTTTCCCAGGGTGGAAATGTCTAAATCTCTGTCTCCTAGTATTGAAGTGAAAGGGAGAAATTTAAAAGGCGATGTGCCACACAAGTGGTTTTTTGAAACAGAGAGTAGTAGTTGCATGTAATACACTGACAGGGGAGGTGGTATAAGCAAATACAACATTTAGACAGACATGAACAGGAAATAGAGGGATATGGACCACGTGCAAGCAGATGGCATTAGTTTAAAATGACTTCATGATCAATGCAGAAAAGCTGCGCTGAAGGCCTGTTCCTGTGCTGTACTGTTCTATGTTCTGTTTGTAGTGACATTAGGCATGTATCCTGACCCAAAATAAAGGCAAGCACATATACAGACACAAATGACAGTTTTCTCTGAGCTGAATTAGCTGCAAGGCACGTAATTGTTCTAGACATCCAGCAGAGTGGGAGGGGTTAACATTTAAAGGAATACTTTGTTCAAGTTAAAAGAAAAAAAACTTGAAATATTAGAATCAAGGATTATAGAACAACAGCATAGAAAGACGACATTCAGATCATTGCACGTACATGACTGTAAAGTCAGTTCTTCCCATTTTTCATTAATTCATGGGATTTGGGTGTCACTGGTAATGCCAGTATTTATTGCCTATCCCTAATTGACTCTTAACTGACCTCTAGGCAAACACTTTGCTGTGTGTCTGGGGTCACATATAGGCCAGACCAGGGAAAGTCAGCAGTTTCCTACCTTAAGAACCTTACTGAATCAGATGGATTCTAGTATTTCCGGCAGTACTCCACTGTGGAAAAGGACTCTGCAAATTTCCCTCCCCATCTAAGGCAGATGCTGTTAGAACCATAAACAGTCATAATGCTGTTACCACAGGTTAAATTTTCCAGGGGATCTTGTTCATTTTTAGTGGTTCTTTTCTCATTCTCAATTATTTTATTAGATTATGCAGGAACATTAGCTTCTGTATTTGTATTTGAGTATTCTTCTTTAGATAAAGATTGTACAACTACCAAAGAACACAAACATCATTAAACATCACTAAATATTTTAATTTGAATCTCAAATTAACAAAAACCAACTCATATAATGGTAAATAAATCTCTAAACGCTATCTCTAAAATGAGATCATGGAGGAATGACACAGATGGCATTGAATGGTTCAGTTTAGTAGATGATGAAGTGAACCAGGAGGTTCCAATTGAAAATCTGACAACCAAGTAAGAATGGAATGAATTCCAGGCCTTTCCTCAGGTTCAAATAAATGTTACACTAGTTTTCATACACACACAAAATCAGCTCCACACAGGAATGGATACTGGCAGGTAGAATAAAAAGGTAAATCCTAAGTTATTTCTGACGTACATGAAGGGAAGTGTACCTCAGAAACAAAGTAGGGTCCATTAAGGACCACAGTGGTAATTTCACGTGGAGTGGTACATAGAGTTCAAAATGAATATTGTCCATTGGTGTTCACTAACATGGGTATTCAGAAAGGAGCGAAGGATAAACCAGAAACTATAGATTAGTCAGTCTAAACTCAGTGCTGAGGAAACTATTGGAAGCAATTCTGAAGGACAGAATTAATCTGCATTTTGAGAGACAGGGATTATTCAAGAAATAGCCCAGAGGTCCCATCTGACCAACTTGACTGATTTTTTTTCAAAGAAGTGACCAGACCCACAGCAATGTGGTTGACTCTTAACTACCCTCTGGGCAATTAGGAATGGCAATGAATACTGGGCCAGCCAGTGATACCCTCACTCCGTGAATGAATTAAAAAATGGTATATAAATGAAGGCAATGCTTTTGATATAGTCTACCTGGACTTCGGCAAGACTTTTGATAAAGTCCTGCATGGGAGACTGATAGCATAGCTAAGAGCCCATGGGATCCAAGGAAATCTGGCAAATTGGATCCAAAATTGGCCGAAAGGCAAAAGCAGAAGCTGATGTTCGAGAGGTGTTTTCCAACTGGAGGTCTATGCTCAATGAAGTCCCACATTGTGGCCCTTGCTGTTTGTGTGTAAATGATTTAGATTTGAATGTAGGAGTATCACTAAGTTTGCACATGATACAAAAATTGGTGGGGTGGTAGTCTGCGAGGAGGATAGCCTTACGCTACAAGAGAATAGATGAGCTGATTCCTTTGCTTTGCTTGTTCTGCCCAAGTGCATCACTTCACGTTTATCTGGATTGAATTCCATTGCCAAAGGAATACATGATGAACAGCAGGACCATAGGATGCACCGAGGATCAGAGGGGCCTTGGTGTGCATGTATACTCGTCCCTTAAGATATCAGGTCAGGTGGATAAAGCAGTTGAGGCGGCATATGGGATAATTGCCTTTAATAGGCAAGGCATAGAGTTGAAGAGCAGGGAGGTTATGCTGGAACTGTATAAAATATTAGTTGGGTCACAACTAATGTACTCAGTTCTGGAAACCACATTATAGCAGATATGTGTTAACAGTGGAGAGGGTGCAGAGCAGATTAACCAGGATGTTGCCTGGGCTGGAGAGTTTCAGCTAATGAAGACAGAGTGGACAGACTGGGGCTGTTTTCCTCAGCATAGAGGATATTGAGATGGGACATGATTGAGATGGATAAAGTTACAAGAGGCATAGATAGGGTAGACAGGAAGAGACTTCTCCCTTTGATGGGGGGGATCAATGACCGGGGCAGAGATTTAAGGTAATGGGCAAGAAGTTTAAGAGCTTTGTGAGGAAAAACATTTTCAGCCAGGGGGTGGTGGGGATCTGGAATTCACTGTTTGTAAGAAGGGTAGGGGCAGAAAACCTCATAACAGTTAAGTATTTAGATGTCCACTTGTGATGCCAAGGTATTTATATACAGGGCAAGTGTTGGAAAACAAGAACAGAATAGTTTGGTGATTTGCTTAATACATGTGCCGTCAAAACAAATCTTTTTCCATGCTGTAGATCTGTGACTGTTGGTACCTATAGACCACAACCATTAGATCCAGACCTCCCACTGTAAGTTCCTTTCCAGTCCTGAGTGGATATTCCAAACCCCATAACCCAGCAGACAGAACAACTGTCTTTATTCTCACTGCTGGCTGCCAGAAATTGTGTCAAGCCCCTTCGTTAGACCTATGACAACTAGAATAACAACCACTATGACTACTACAACTACAACAACATTCCTTATTGCTCCCCCTACACTTGGATGGTTTCCTGCACCAAAGTGCCATGGTCAATTTGCATATCCAGCTTACAGTTCCTACTCTATGCTGAGCAGATGACAGAATTTCAAACTCATTGGAATCATGGGTCATGGGTGACTTGGAAGCAAGGTACACAAAAAAAACAGTACTATTGAAAGGTGTAGTGTCAGTGAGAAAGGTACTGGATATAATATCACAAGATTTAGTACGTGGTCTGTTGTAGTTCTTATGTAGAATATATAGTTATGAAACAGATGACTTAGGCATGAGCCTTCTTTGATTATTAATCTCTTCAAATTCTGCACCTATATTCTCTTCTCCATTTCTTCTGCTTCCTTTCCCATGCACCAATGCATTCTGCTTCAACCCTGTGTACCAATACATTCTGCTTCAACCTCCCCGTGCACCAATGCATTCTGCTTCAGCCCACCACTGTGTGCCAATGCATTCTGCTTCAGCTCCCCCGTGTGCCAATGCATTCTGCTTCAGCAACCCCCCGTGCGCCATTGCATTCTGCTTCAGCCCCTGCCATGCGCCAATGCATTCTGCTTCAGCACCCCCGTGCACCAATGCATTCTGCTT